CTGTAGAGAACCATATTTTTCTCCCTTTGTTCTTTGTCAGAATTACTGAATCTTGGAAGACAGACTTCCTTCCCCTTTCTCCTTCCATCATTTCCTGAAACTTGGCTTCTGCCACGCTCACTTGACAAAAATTGTTCTTTCAAAGGTCACCAATGACTTTTTTGCTGCTAACTCCAGCAACCATTCTACTTAGATCTCTCAAATGTATTTAATACCACTGGACATTGCTTGCTGGGCACTTATGCTAACTTGGTTTCCATGACATCACACACTATCCTTCTCTCTGCCAAGCATTATTTTTTGTCTCCCCACCTCCCTAGCCCCATGAATGCAAATGTTTCCTCAAGTCTCTGGCCTTTTCTCTTCTCTGTTCACTATAAGAGATCACCCATTTTTGTTTCATCATCACTTTTATGTTGATTTCTCTGAAATCTGTATTTCTAATTCCAAGTAGCAGTCACATGTTTCAAATTCTCCACTTGCATTTTTTAATGTGTAGGCCATGCCCTAATTTTAAATTTAGCATTTTTGAGAACAAGCTTATCACTTACCCTCCACCTCTTCCCAATGAACACCTTCTTGATTGTCCTATCTGTACCTGTAGCACCATATCTTTCCAAATTACATGCAATCTGAAATTTGGTTCCATACTCTATATGCTTTTACTTTGTAATTCTTATTTATCCCTCTTTTTTTTTCTTTTTTTTTTACCATAAGACCCTACCATCAGTCTAAAATCGTATACCTTTGGTTTTACACCACTGCATATCAGAGTGATAATGCTCTGAAATTCCCTTACAGCTAACAGAACACACAGCAAATAATTATTAGATTCCAAATTCTGTTCTACTTCAGTCTCTTCTTATCCAGTCTTTCTCAGTAGTTACTGCAATTTTATATCTTCTATAAACACCTAAGGCCTTAGAAGTTATCTTTAAGATAGCCTTTAAACTCTCGGGTGATTATCAGTTATATCTCATACCTCTATTTTTTGCAGCTCTAAGATCCTTTTTCTGACACTGTCAATATCTTCTCCTGCTATCCTATCTGAGGGCAAACTTTATTGCCTGTCAACTAATGTAGTCAATACAGCTCTGATTGAAGTAAACAGGTGGCCCTGCTTCTCTTCAATATGCTGCCATGCCCCACTCCCCCTGGCCCATCCTCAACCTTTCCAGAGCCATCAGGCAGGGACCACCAACTCCACCTGCTCTTTCACTGGCACCCAGGAACCTCAAAGCAATTGTGGGAATTGGTTCACCTTCACCTTGAGAACTGCACCCAGTTGTGAAGATCCAGGATTCATTTTCCTACATCCTGGGGTCAACAGAAAGAATCCTCAGTTTCCATTTTGTCGACATGAAGCTTGAGTTATTCTCTTTCAATCCCTGAGAAACTCATTCCAGAGAGGGAAACTAAACAGAATCAGGTTCCACTTTTCTTTCCCTTTTCCCCTCTAGTATGGACCCTACTTTCCAACCAAGCTTTCCTCTTCACAGTGTCTGAATATGATATTTTTATGTCCAACTGCAAACCCTTGTACTTGGCCCCAATAGCCATATAACCTTCAATCTCTCAAGGCTCACTCCTCCCCAAGGCAGGCTCCATAGACTCATCACCCATTAGAGATGACTCCCTTCTCTGTGAGTTCACAAACTTTTTTTTGATGACAGAATGATAATTTGATGATTTATGATGAAAACTAGTAGCACCTGATGAACTCTATATTCTCTCAATTGTATGGCATTTTTAAATTAATATCTGGAAATGCTAGGGAGTTATATAGTCCTTGGGTTCTCAATAAAGGTTACCTCCCAGCTCCTACTTCCAGCATTTCCTGATCATATTACTCAAGTGTATTCTACTTTTTATTGCTACTAAACTGTTTCACATAAAAAGTCCTCACCCTACTTGAATCCTTTGATTCCACAAATATATAACAGGTTTCTTTCATGTCAAGAATTGTTAGATAAGATGAGTGATCTAAATAGGAATAAGACCTAGTGTCCAACCTCAATCTAGAAGAGATAAGAGATAAATACATTAATATCGATAATACAAGACAGATAATATAATAGCTACAAAAGGTTTTGAGGTGGTAATAATAGTAATAACTATCCAGACATAATCCCATGTACTTTATGCACATTATAGTATCTCAGTTATCTTTACAAAAATCCTATGAGGCAATTAGTTGTATCTTTGTTTTACCGAGAAGGTAACTAAGGTTCAGAGAGGTTTAGTAATTGCACAATAGTCAGCTGAGTGTAAAGGGACACACTAGAATTCTACCCCAAAGTCTTTTATCTTAATCTTATAGGGAGCTCAGAAGAAGTGAAAATAATGTCTAGTTGTAACATGAGAAAAGTTTTCATAAAGTATATCACTTCTGAGATAAATTTTGAAAAATTGTTAGAATTTTAAGAAATAGAAAAGGATAAGAGAGAAATTCAAGACAAAATGAAGGCAATGAATAAAAGTAATGAGATTATGAAAGTCAGAGATGTATGATGAACAACAATCAGAGGTGTCTGACTGACTGGAAGATTAAGAGGTTATAGCTGCCAGGTTGGAACTGGTTGCAAGTGGCATTAGCTTCCAAGCTAAAGACTCTGTTCCAGAATCCTATATTTGGGAAGCCATAAAAGTATAACTCCAACTTCATCACTAACCCTTACTGTGCAAAAAGTCAGGTAAGACTTCCCAACCCAGGATTAAGCTTAGGGGATAGAAGAACTGAGAACAGAAACTTCCCAGTGATGAGGATTAAAAGGATAATTGAACAATAGTACAGAAAGTGGATGCTTGGTGGTAGTGATTGTGTCATTGAAAAAACTGATCGGGTCTGGGATGAGATGAGAGAAGAGAGACTGAACAAAAGGCTAAGCATAGGATGAGGATGAAGAGCCCATAGAATTAAGGGATAAGAGAGAAGGAAAATAATGTGGCCAGAAAAGAGAACTTTAGTTTGATATCGTAGAGGCAGAACAGGTTTGAGTGGTGGCTAATAAAGTGCATTCTTTTGACTAGTTGCAGAAAGAATGAAGGTGGGCATCACTGGGGTTGTGCAAGTGAAAGGGCATAACATGACCTTAATATACCCAGTGAGCAACCATTTTAACATTGCCTAAATCTTATGTTTTTCTAGTAGTTCACTTAACGTATCCTCTAATCACTAGACAAGGAAACAGAACTGGTTTCTCAGAGGTAGCTATTGATAATTGTTTTATAATCCCCAACCCCAGCTTGTTTTGTACTAATCAGCTTTTCTATTTCAAGTATTTGCCTCTATCCATAAGATCTAAGTTAACCTAATCAGCCCTTCATGACCTACATGACAGACAGATCCCACCACTATGGCAGCAATCATGTGACTAACCCACCCATCTGCCTGCTATCCATTACCTGACATCAATACCTGTGCTTACCTGCCCCTTTGTGATGACATGAAGCAGACCATCATCCATTCACCTTAATGACCTTCCCCCATCAAAGGGAAAGGTTAAAAGTATTCAACCATGAGCAGCCAGTCGCCATTGCCTTACTAGGCTCTGGTGTAGCCATGTGCTCTTTGAGCTATGGCTGTCACCATGTTTTCTGTCTTTGTTCCCCTTCTCTAACTTGGGAAGGTGAATCTCCTCTTTCTGTTTCTCTCTCTCTCTCTCTCTTAATTTACTTTTTAAATAAACTGTATTTTCCAGTCTAACTCCTGTGCAATTCTTTGTATTTTCCATGCAGCACCTGATCGCACCAGACACCTACACCCCCAGCAGGTCTGACCTAACATTCTGGAAGCCTTTGCTGGAAGTGTGACCTAACAACAAGGTTCAGTCACTGCTGAATCCCTAGCACCTTCTGAAGTACCTGGAAATTAGTGAAAAAATGTGATAGAATATATTAATGGGGTCATCACCAAAAATGGATTAGATATATCCTTACAGTAAAGTTCTCAAAGAAGAGGAAAGGAAAATTCAGGGAGATGCTGATGCTGATGTCTCTGCAGTTAGTAGGTAGGTGGCCAGGAAAACAAGTCATAGTGAGAATTAGAAAAAACTAGGATAAGGAAGCACTATTACACACACACACACACACACACACACACCCCAAAAGAAAAAAAAAGCTGAGTAATAGTAGCAGAAAAATACGAGGACAAAAAGTTTATATTCCAGGTCTATTTCTCCTTAGCAATGCCTAGACATGTTACTCAATATTGATTAATCAAAAGTGAAGAGACTTTTTAGGATCTTCAGGAGAAAGCAGAATACCCTACAAATAGAAGACTACTTTACAGAACTAGAAAAGGAAGACAAGGCCTTGCTTCCAGAGTCCACGAGAGGCCTGAGCTTAGGAGGCCTCCCACATGACTCAGGAGTTTCTGGCAGAGCTCAGAGTTTCAGACAGAAAGGGCCCCTGGAGATCAGACTGAGGCTCTCTTGACATGGCCAGCTCAGCCCCTCTTCCCATCCATAACCTGCAACTCTGTAACCCAACCACTCTCTTCCCAGGAGCAAAATCTGGGTCACAGGGGTGGGAGCTCTGGCAGTCACTTGTGTCTAATACATAACTCCCATTGATTTTCTAGCCCAGGGCCTCACTTGTTTTCCATCAGCAGCTCTGATTGCTGGCACCAGGGGGCAGGCCTAGAAAATCACTCACACACTATTGGTGCTCTCTCTCCCTTCCTCCTCACCCAAGATGCATAAAAACCCTCAATAGTCCGAGGGCTTATGTGTGACTCTCAGAAGCTGAGTGGACAGCCACTGTGTTGTCTGCTTCCTAATCCTGCTCACTGCTGCAGCTAAAATAGCCCCAGGCCAAGAACATGAACAAGTTGCTGCTTTGGGTCTCCATCCTGACCGGCCATCTAGGTACCTTTGCTCACACAGGTAAGGGAGTCGGGGAATGGTCAAGGAGCATGAGGTGAGAAAAGAGTTTGAAACTGGGATGTTTTTTCCCTGCATTTATGGTGAAGGCTATTATATTTCTTTTTTATCCCACAGACCTCAGTGGGAAGGTGTTTGTGTTCCCTAAAGAATCCTCTAGTGATCATGTGAGATTGATTGCACAGCTGGAGAAGCCTCTGGAGAACTTTACCTTGTGTTTTCGAGCCTATAGTGACCTCTCCCGTGGCTACAGCCTTTTCTCCTACAACGTCCAAGGCAAGGATAATGAGCTACTCATTTACAAAGAAAGAGTTGGAGAATACAGTCTGTACATTGGGAAAAGCAAAGTCACATTCAAAGTTAAAGAAGAATACCCAGCCCCGGTGCACATCTGCACCAGCTGGGAGTCCTCCTCAGGCATTGCTGAATTTTGGGTCAACGGGAAGGCTTTGGTGAAAAAGGGTCTGAAACAAGGTTATTCTGTGGCAGCTAACCCCAAGATAGTCCTGGGGCAGGAGCAGGATTCCTATGGGGGTGGGTTTGATAAGAGCCAGTCCTTTGTGGGAGAGATTGGGGATTTGAATATGTGGGACTCTGTGCTGTCCTTAGAAGATATCCTGCTTTTGTATCAGGGTTCCTCCCTCGATTCTAATGTCCTGGACTGGAAGGCTCTGAACTTTGAAGCAAAAGGATATGTTGTCATCAAGCCCCTGGTCTGGGCCTGAGGTCTTGCATCAGCAAGAGCGCTTGAAAATGAATTGACCAATGTCTAAGATGTCTGCTCAAAGTGACTGGAGTCTAGATTCTATACATGCAGCTCTTTCCTAGAATGTCCTGTCTGTATACCCGACTAATTAAAAATACATTACATACCTGCATTTGTTTAGTTTTTGTCATAGTCCCATAGACTTTCTCTTATATCTCCATTTATTTGGTAATTGGTGTTTTATATTCCAGAAAAAATTAGGTTCTAAAATATGGGGAGGGAAACCTTTAAGTAACTAGAAATATATATCGCAAAGTCAGCACTCAGTGAGTGAGACAGCAGCAACACTTATAAGCCACCAACAATTATTTTAATAACAATTTAAAATAAGTGTAGAATTATAATCAAAATTCTTTTTTAGTTTTTTCAGCTAAAATCAGTCAAAAAGAGGCCTGAGGTTGTGCCAAGGAGACAATTATAATGAGATAAGTAAGCAATAGCTGAGAACCTGACAGCACGTAATGAGACAGGAAAAAAAAGTGAGAAGATGTAAGAATTAAAACTAAAAATGTATAAGAGACTGGGATCATTTTGTGTGAAGAAAAACATGCCTTTATACCACAAAAACCCCAGTGGTACTGTACAGTGCTTGATTTTCATAATGCTGTCTCAATGTCATTAAAAATATTATATTCTGAATATTATTCACATGAATTCCCTGTTTAAAGTCCTTCCATGAGTCCCCACTTCATAGAGAATATAATTTAAACCCCTTAATGTGACGCTGCCCTCCATAACCTCGCCCCACTAACTCTCTCTGAAATGCATATGAAAGCATACACAGAGTAGTCTTCGAGACAGACTCTCTGTGCATGTTTCAGATACAACTTTTAGCACACCAAGTGGCACTCTAGTTACAACCCTGAAAAATAATTGTCAGATGTTATCCCTAGTAGTTATCTTCATGATTATGAAAAGCATGGAGCACAGTGCCTGGCATATCCTTCCCAAAGAAGCAAGAACCCTAGAGGGAGTCTGGGCTGCAGATATAATATAAAACAGGGTTTTCTCACTGATAATCAAAAGGGCGTAAGGCCAGGGAAATCAGAAAGATAACATCCACAACAGCTTCAGAATGATAGCCAATGTAATTGCCTCAAGTTTGTGAGGCCATTTGCCCAGGATGGACATAGAGGCAGGAACCAGATACAAAGAAGTGGATCAGAATCGGGGAATTCCATAAAGGGGCAATGTAGTGGAAGCAGAGAAGAGCAGACAGAACCAGGGAAGATTTGCTGAGGTACTTAAAATAGAGCAGCAGGGGCTTCCTAAGAACATTTCCACCTCATTTCTGGTGAGATAGTGCTATTGTTTGAATATGGCTTGTTTGCCCCCGCCAAAGCTCATGCTGAAATTTGATTTCCAGTGACTCCCAGAGAGAGTAGGTGGTGTTGAGAGATGAGACCCAGTGGGAGGTTTTCAGCCTCTGGAAGTGAATCCTTCAAGAATGGCTTGAGCCGGGCTCGGTGGCTCAGCCTGTAATCCCGCGCCTTTGGGAGGCTGAGGTGAGTGGATTGCCTGAGCCCGCGGGTTCGAGACCCACCTGGGCAGCGAGACCTCATCTCTACAATAAATCAAAAAATCAGCCGGGCGTGGTAGCGCATGCCTGTAATTCCGGCTACTTGGAAGGCTGAGGCGGAAGGATCGCCGGAGCCCAGCAGGCGAGGCTGCCGTGGCTGGGAGCGGCCACTGCACTCCAGTCTGGGCTCCAACTCAAAAAAAAAAAAAGAATGGCTTGGTTTTCTTTTCAATATAATGAATGAGTTCAAAGACTTGGTTCTATTCTTACTACAGTGGGTGGATTCTCACCTTTATGAGACTGCATTAGTTCTTGTTAGAGGGGTTGCTATGAAGCCAGAATGTCCCCTCAGGTTTTGTTGTCTTTGCTCTTATTTGCTTCCCCTTTAACCATTTCCTCCAGGTTGTGATGCAGCACAAAAGTTCTTGCCAGAAGCCAGGATCATGCCCTTGAACTTCTCCACCAGCAAAATCATGAGCTATATAAACCTCTTATCAATGACTCAGTCTCAGATATTATTTTAAAGCAACACAAAACAAATCAAGACAGGTAGAAATCATTTAGGACATCAAGTTGGTTAGAGAGAGATTTTAGCAATCTGGGAAATTATCAACTTCCAAATGACATCTCAGAAGTTAAGGCTGGTTTTATGCTTTCTTAATATTAACAACTTTTCCATAAACTTGTACTGTGAAGACTGGAAAGATCCATCTATTCTTGTGTAACAGATATGTCCATCATTTATTTGCACTGAAGTTGTACTTTAGTTTAACAGTACCTATGCCAAGGAATACCAAAAAAGTTACAAAGACGAAGCCAGTGTACTTTCAAGTGATATCATCCACTCATTCAACTATTTATTGAGCAACTACTCTATGCCAGGCACTATGCCAGGTACTAAAAACATAATACTGAGTGAAATGATCATGGTGCTTGCTTTTTGGAGCTTATGTTCTAATAAGTCTATGTTATCTAAATATTAATTTCTCCTAACAATAATCGGCCTGTGTTGTAATCCATCCCTTACACCTTTAAGCTTTCTTCTATCTCAGGTTGATATATACTTCCCCTCCCAATGCCACATGAGTTATTATTAGTATTATTTATTCTTGGTGACCATTTGCAACTTTTTGCATATATCTTAGGATCTAGTGTTCATAACTAGATTCTTGCTCTTATAAGCCCTCTACACCTTGAGATGATTCTTTTAAACAGAATCTAAGATGACTAACGTCAGCCCTTTCTTTTATGTGCCCCACACTTCATCTAAAAGAAACACTCATGCATCCCTTGTCCCTATGAATCCTGGCAGTTCAGGATGTAGACAACATTTCCCTGCTTCTTCCATGTCTGTAGCTTTCTCAAGTCCTTTGAGTCTCCCAATAGCAAGGAGTATATTCCAAGCTTCCTGAGTGATTCCATGGAAGCCCTTCTACTAGACTAAAGGTGAAGAAAGTAGAATCTTCTTGAGCCATCAGGATTATAACCTACTCTTCTCTCAAATCAGTAACAACAGCAAAGCAACAATTCTCTGCAAAGAAGTTCCTTGGAGAAGTTCTTTCACATCCCCACATTCAGTCTCAACCTACTCTGTACACCTTGTTCTGGCCAAGAGATACAAGAGTCACAGAGCTGGTTCCTAATTATTTCCTTTGTAAATTCTTCATTTGAGTGGATTTGTATATACTATTTTTATGACCTAACATCTGTCATATCGATGGTTCATTCAAAACTAAAGAAAGAATAGTTCATTTTGACATCATTTAAAATAAAAATGGGGTTTCTGGAAACTTGTCGTGGCCTTTTTTCTCAGCTACAGTGGTTCTTACAACGAGGGAAGCAGCAAAAGTCACAGAGGAAAATACTTGAGTGATTCAGAATCCATAAGAGAATTGAAAGGACTTGGAAAGTATGTTAATCCAGGAACATGGTTGGGTAGTGATTCAATAATTGCCTTAATAATTGTCACTTTCCCCATACTTGTCACTAAGGCTGGTAGATCCTGGGAAACTCATAGTATGCAAGATTTACAACAGATGGCTAAACCCAGGAGTCATCTCCTTAGAAAAACAAGTTTTAAGCCTCTATCTTATGCAAGTAAGGATCTGATTTTTATTTGTGTGGTTACAGGAAAACACGTAGGAGAATTTAGCCACACAGCTCCAGGACTGGTTTTGCCACAAGTCCATAAAGGATTTTCTTGGATAAGAGGGCTTGCAATTAATTCTGTGAGTTTTATGTGGAAGACTCTAGGCAGAGGTCTGAGGTTAAAGCAATAAGATCTCTCAGTTTGGTAAATGATTAGCTCAAACTTGAATTGGTATGAGAATGAAAAAGATATTTTAGGCCAGGTGCGGTGGCTCAGGTCTGTAATCCCAGCACTTTGGGAGGCTGAGGCGAGAGGATTGCCTGAGCCAGCGGGTTCGAAACCAGCCTGGGCAACATGGTGAGACCTCACCTCTACGACAAATCAAAAAAAATAAAAAATAAAAAAAACATTATTCTAGCATGGCAGCACGTGCCTATAGTTCCAGCTACTTGGAAGGCTGAGGCAGAAGAATCACCAGAGTCCAGCAGGTCGATGCTGGAGTGGCCATGAGCGTGCCACTGCACTCCAGCCTGGGTGATGGAGTAAGACTCCGACTCAAAAAAAAAAAAGAAAAAGAAAAAGATATTTTATTTGCACTAGAGAGGATCAATGTATAGCCACAAATTTGGAAAGCAATGTAGAGATTTTTTTTAGGTATTTATGGGACTTCTGTTGTTTAGAAGGAATAGGTGTCTAAAACCATTCAAAGAACAGAAGAAAAAGTGAAACATGATCTGAGTCACTTTTAATCCTTATCTTGACAGGACTAAATAGCTAATTAACTTATAAATTAAACTGTATTCTAGAATTTCCTGCTTGGTTTTATCTGACTATAGCCACATTTCTCTGAGTTAACATGGGAGATGCCTTTAGGTACCAACATCCAGTTTGAGCCCTGATTAAGGCACATGCATCAGGTCATACACAACCACAGGATTCAGAGGGAAAGTTAATCTCATATTATTGGTACCTTGCACTGAGACCCATAGTCTATGTAGGATTCATAACTCTGTGTCTGCAATGAGAGGCCAAAGGCAAAGGCAATGCCCTTCACCTAGACCTCTAGCTGCTGCTACAGCTTCTGTCAGTAGCCTTGTGGGGGCCCTGTGCAAATTCAATGAATAGTGTGTAAGAAGCACCTACTCAGTCCATATCCTTTCACTTACAAGTGCTCAGTGATTGTTGGCTATGATGATGAGGAGGATGAGGATGGGAATACTTATCTAAAACTTTAAGTATCTTTCCTAACTTCTTCGTATAGTCCTATAAATAAAAAGAAATACTCAGGCTCTACTTTCAGCTCCTACCGTCAAAACTAATCCTTACCTAACCAAACCCATGCATGCACCCTGCTAGTAGGAGAAATGAGGTAAGTTCTCTCTAGACATCCAGAGAGACACTGTAATTGACTTTTATGCAGGTACATTTTCACTTATAGTAATTAACCAAGGTCAAAACAATAACAGGGATTGAAAAGAACAAAAGATGGTGCTATGTAACGTTC